GCCCGGAAGACTCACACCAGCCATCGTATGCCGGCCGTGAAAGCCTTCGACAATACATTAAGTTGACTAGGTTCACACAAGTAGCATAATTAGTCCTTTAACCCATCTTCTGATTTCTTCCAACCTATTGCCCTGGGTTATCAGTAACCAGATCAGTTGGCTTTCCTCAATTTGCTAAGCTACAAATAACCCTAACCCGGGCAACAATGAATCAGACTCAACGGTGCTGTTTGAAGGCATCTGCTTGGTCTTTAACTGAGTGTGTTATGTGCGTGGTACGAACATGGCCAGTTCAGAGACTGGCTGGGATAGGAAGGTGGCCTGGAGGAGAGATACTGAGGAGATCTCCCAGCCCATGTGCCTGTTCTGGCCCTCTTGCATTTCATGAAGCTGCCAGCATCGAGCGTCTGTTGTCGGAGGGAGGGCATTCTTCTGGCAGCAAGGGTGTCTGGGTGTCCCCGGGCCAAAGCCACGTGATCAAAAGAACCATAGTGGAGAAAAACAAAGACAAACTACAGAGGACAGTTAGAAGCAGGCTTTATTGATAAACTGCTGGAGAAAAGTCTGAAGAAGAAAGCTTAATCCAAGATCTTGATGTCTCAGGAGCCACATGTGAATTGTAACAAAAGAAAGAACAGTTAATTCCAGGCAGTGTTTGCCTTCATTCCTTAACTGCTAAATATGCTAGAACATATTGCTCAGTGGCCTTCAGATGAGCTGGGACTACAACTCCCAGAATTCCCCATTGCTGGCTGGGAATGCTGGGCAATACAGTCCCAACCCATCTGAGCAAGAAGCTTGTGGCTAAATATGCCTCACTGCTGGTTAGAGGATTCTGGGAGCTGCAGTCCAAATCCACCAGAGGCCACCATGAGGGAAGGCTACTGTATTTAATAAGTTTAGGCGTATCAGAGCTGGGATGCACAAAACACAGTGACCATTAGGGGGAGCAGCTGCATAGAGATTTCTGTACCTCTGCTGCCCCCAGTGGCCATCTGTAGGTCTGCTATACCTGAATTAATTGGTGGATTGTTATTTAAAAGCTCCTGTTTTTTTTTTTTTCTTTTGGGGGACATTTAAAGGGATCTGTTGCTCCTGTAATTGGCTTCCTGCTAGCGTAAGAATATAATGCCACAATCCCATCTTCCCCCCTGCATCTCTTCTTCTCAATAGGGGTGATCCCGCACGTGCTCCATGATCGTTTTCAGCCCCAGCCACGTCTCCTGAGCTGTGGGGACGATCAGTTTGGCAGGCAAGAGGAAGCCGTAGCGCCCCGTGTCTCTCAGTTCAAAGGCAAAAGAGTACTTGATCCCATAATTATACGTCCAGTCGATACTTCCACCACTGGCTTGGTCTAGAACAAAGGACACAGGAGAACATGGGTCTAAGAAAGCTTGATAGGTTTGGATCTCTTCTGTCCAGTGGCACCAGAGTCTTCCTTAAACAAATCCAGAACATCTGCACCATCTACCAGATGCTCAGACTGTGATTGTCCCAATACATCTGGACAGCGTGAGGTCAGGAAGGTTATTCTACACCCAGCATTTCCATTCACACAACATCCTTAACAGGGTTGTTGAATTAACTCATATTCTGGATTCACAGGATCCATTGGACCACAAACAAATGGGCTACGTTCATCCAGCAGATGAGGGCACCCTCCAAATTATCCAGGTTAAAACTAACCCAGCTTAGTATGTTTTATGAATGCATCTGCTAGGTCTTGACCTGGGCTGGTTAAGTAGGTTGTCTACATAGAGCTCTGAGCCTATCAGGTGCCTCCCTAACTTCACACCTTCCGAGTCTATGAGGCACAGCTCCCATCATCCACAGTCATCAAGGACCATGCTGTCCGATGGTGACGGGTGTGATAGTTCACTATCTTAGGAGGCTGATGGCAACCAGAGCTGAATACCCATGGGGGAACAAGAGGGATCAGGGGTCCAAAAGAAGGAAAGGAAGAAGAAAAGAAGGGTTCAATTTAAACAGAACAATATTTTTCATTTCATTGCCCCCCAGAAGAGGCACATGCTGAAATATATCCAAAAACTTACAAATCACGGAGCAGATGGACCCAACTTTATAGCGGGTGCCGTGCAGCGAAGTCAAGGCGTTGGCAGCAGCTCTTCCCACCATATCCTAGGAGGAAAATCAGGACTGAACCACTTGGATTCCCTTGGAAGCAGAGGTGTCCACAGTGGTCAAAAAAGGCAAGATGGCGGCTATGGCAATGCAATTGAATCACCACCCATTTTTTGTGTGTGTGGACTTTCTTAGTCCACTAGGATCAGAATCGTGCAAGCCGTGGTATTGTGACACTCTATGGAAGTGAAAGTTGGACTTTGAAGAAGCAGGAGAGGGAGAGCATTGACACGTTTGAACGTTGGTGTTGCAGAAGGCTCCTGAGAACCCCGTGGACAGCCAAGAAAACACACCGATGGATCACTGAACAAATCAATCCACTTGAGGCCCAAATGACCAGGCTCCAATGATGCTACCTTGGACACATTATGTGAAGACCTGAGACCCGAATGCCGGGAAAGGTGGAAGGAAAGAGAAGAAGAGGACGACCAGCAGCAAGGGGGAAGGACTCAGTTAAGTGGCGGTGGGGGCACCATTGGGAGACATGAAAGACCAGGTTAAGGATAGATCATCTTGGAGAAAATCTATATATGGTCGCTAGGAGTCGAAAACAACTTGACGGCACGTAATCAGTCAATCAATCAATCAGGAAGAATGGAGATTTCAATACATAGGGTAAGAAATAATGAGCCAGTGGCAGGAGGTTGACAGTGTCTGAACTCAGAAGTATCAGAAGAGCTCAGTCCTGGTTCTTTCTTTGATGGGAGTGGAGACCACAAAGGAATCCCAGAGTTGTAGATTAGACTGGGGGGGAAAATCCTAGAACAGAGCAATGGCAAAGATCGTGAAACAGCAATTCCCTTAATTGATTCCCTTAATTCCCTGACTCCTCTTAAAGCATGAGGAATTAATCAAAGGCACGGACGCAAACAT